CCTCTTTCTTAACAAGGGAGAATGCAACCTCAGAAATAATATTCGAAAATTCATCGATACATAAATTTTTATCTCATTTTGCCGAGACAGAAAGTATTTACATGTTCATTAAAAACTGTGTAATTTTGACATAATATCAGCGGATGATAATCGTTTAATATAATTCTTCTTTTTTGTTCACAATGCCCACACAATATTTTAAAATTATCGCTTGCGGGTGACTCATGAATTTACAATATGTTACATCATTTAAAGCAACTAGGGCGAAAATCAAGTGAAAAAACAAAAAGGCAATTTTTTTAAAATAAAAAATTGGGTTTTTTAAAATTAAAATTTTTATACAAAGGAACAAATTTTTTTTGTGTTAAAAAATTTAAACCAAAAACAAATCATCCCTACTACCTTTCAAATTGTTTTAACTACCAAAATTTCTATTCCCGCTTCCCCCAAAAGACCAATTTAAAATAACGGGGACCTGGTTTTTTTTTAAAATAATATGAAAAAAAAAAAACCAATTTTCATTCAAATGGCCCCCTTTTTTCCTTTGAAAAACCCTTTAAACTTTAAAATCTGCAAAAATAGTATTCCGGGGGAAATGCCCTGTGTAAAAAATTTTTCATTTGCAAAAACCGGGTAGGTTTTTGAAAGTTAAGGGGATTTAAAAGTCCGCAGACCCTAAATTAAAACATTTTCAAAACTTAGAATATAAGGGTTTTAAAAAAGTCAGTTTAAAACGAAACAAAAAATATCGTTTCAAACATTGGGCTGTCGACTTTCTATTTTTAGGTAAAAACTAACAAAGACAAAATAAGTTCCCTTTTGTAAAAAAAATTTTTGAGGGGTTATTTTGATACAAAAATTAAAAATCATCCCCTTTTTTGAAATCTAAAGTTGGGCCCTTTGTTTAAAAATTGTTTCTATATAATTAATAATACCTCCCGACGCTCTTTTGCTATTTTCCCTTAAATTTTATTTTTTTATTTAATACAAAAAGTTTTAAAATTCTCTTTTCACCAAACCCATTCCTCGGATGTCCCGGTTTCTGTGAATAAACAAATCATGATTAAGAAAAAAGTCTTTTAAATTTTTTTAATTCAGGGTTTCAATTTGTCCTTTGTTTTCAGACCTTGAACATTTAACAATGCTAATCGTAAACGAGACCTTCTGGTTTGTTTCCTAATACAGAAGAATTATGCCTTTTGCCACGAGAAACCCGCTCATCTGTCGATTGACTTTGTTTTGATTGTAATTGAGTCATTCCTATTTATAGCATCTGGTAAAACCCGATCTTTTTCCGTGTAACACTTACACTTTGTCGCCTATATGGTATAGCGGAACTTGACCGCTTTTTTCTGACCTTGTGGTTGCACGTGCATTTCGAGACCGCCCACGCAACGGTGAACAACTGTTCTTTCACTGCAGTATTATCGTTCAATATTTGTTTACATGGCCGTATTTTCTGTGCAATCTACTACAGTTTTTTTTAAAAATGGGTATTTTCAGACAAGTCGTGATATGGAATTTTGTTCATATTTAAAAAACTGTGTTTGTGTCGTTATCTGGATGAAAAGAATTCGAAGATTCATGATCATGGGAATTGTTTTTCTCTGACTGTTTGACGTGACATGTTCGGATCTGTTTCTGAAACGATTTGATCATTTAGGAGGCTTATTGGTGTCACTTGAGGAGAAGTTTTTTTTCATAGGTTTTGCTGCGTAAAGGTGGTCAAACACTTTGTTGAATGTGTGTGAAGTAGACTGATCAGACTTTTGCATAACTTTTTGACTGGGGCGAATGTGCATACATGCAATTGGCAATTGTAGTTCCTTGATTCAAAGTTAAGGGAGAGAACTCAGTGTTTTGTGCAGGGATGAGATTGAGACTTTGTGGCGGAAGCAACATTGAAGGTATTGTTTGCATCGATTGTTGGAGGCGGGACACTAAAGTTTTGGATTAGTACTGTGACTATCAGCTACACTTAAGACGGCACTGTAACTAGGGCCCCTTTTATTGAAACATAGGGTGGATAAAGGGCCCTTTATTTCCCGGGATGTTTTTTTTACAACCCGGGTAAAACCCGGGGCCCTGTATGCCCATTGAACTGAATTAAATGTTTTTGCCCTTACATTTGAGGTTTTTTTTGAAACATTTCCCTGGGGAAATTTTAAAGGGGGGAGTGGCTTTGGGGCTTTTTCTGCGAAATTTGGTTTTTCCAATTTGTAAAATTTGGTTTTCACAGTGGTTTTCCGGTGGGGTTTCAATCTTTTTGGTTCTCATGGGAAAAAGTTTTTATTTCTTTGGGGGGTCCATCCTCCCATCACTCTTCCATCAAAATTTTTAAAATTTTTCCGGGGATAATTATCTTCACTTTTGAGGTTTGGGTTTTTTTGGTTTTTAAGCTGTTTTTTAAAAAAAGGGGGCCAGAGACGGGAAACGGGCCCCCTTGTATTTCACAGGGGGAAAATCATAGTCACTGAGAATTTAAAATTTTTTAAAAATGGGGGGAATTTCTCATTATGAGTTCTAAATTTTTGAAAGTTGAAAAAATTTACCCCTTTTTTTGGTCTTTTTTTGAAAAATGTTTGTGTAAAAATGGTTTTACCTAAGGCCCGTTGGGGCCCCCCTAAAGACACTCCCCTTTGGGGTTAATATTTTGAGAAAAAATTTTTTAGGAAAAATCCCCTTATGGGTCATCGAGCAATTTTTGTCTCTATTTTTTTTAATGAAACCTCTGAAAATCAGATTTTTTCTCCTGGAAAACCCCGCTTTCCAAATCAAATTGGCTTAAAATGAAAGGGGTTTTAGAAATTTTGTTTTGGGGAATTTGGGAAAAATTAACATTTTTACCCCCTCTTAAACGTTTCAAAGGGGGGGGCAAGGTTTTCCCTTGAAAAAACTTTCATCCCTTCCCTTTACAGTTTTAAATTTGTTTTACATCTAAATTGGGGCCTTTTGTTTCATCAAAAAAATATCCCAAACTTAAATTTTAACGAAACTTGCATTAAAATCAGTTTCCCTGAAATCAGGCGAAGCAAAAATTAAATTTTTTTTCTTGGCCAAAAATTTCAAAAATCTGTTTCTAACACTGGGCCCTTTACAAATACGATTTTTGAAAAAGCTTGACTCGCGTTGCATAAAAAAAGTTTTCCCCTATGTCATATCACAAACAAAGGGTAATATTTTTAATTAAAGAAAATAAAAAGAATAACTAATTTCGTTTAAATGTATAGGGAAAAAATCTATTTACCCTATTGTAAAGTTTATAAACTGATTTTCAACAGAAATTTTTAAAAGATATATAAAAATAAATAGAAACTTTCCCCATTTTTAAATTTTGAAAAAATAAAGGAAAAAATTTTTTTGCGCTGCGGGACCCGAGTTCCCTTTATTTAAAAATCATAATCTATATATTCCTATAAAAAACATTGAAAAAATAAAATTTTTGGTAAAATTTTTGTTATTGGTTAAAACAATTTTTCCCTTTAAAAGAAAAAATATTGTTTAACCCAATAGGGAAGACCCAAAAAAATTAGGACAAAAATATTCTTCGCCCCGGGGCACCTTTTTCCCCAAATGTTAAACAAAAACCCCTTTCATATGTGCGCAAATAATTTTTTAAAAGTCCCTCGAATTTCATTTTTGAGGCGAAAAGGGAAAAATTTTAAATTTAAAATCTAAAAAGGGTTTTGGGATATTTAATCCTGAAGATAATTTTAATTTGTGTTTAGCTATCAAAATACTGATTTAGCTGAAATAAGTAATATGAGAATTAAAGTGACAGTATGCTCTTCAAATGTATATGGTGAGTGAACCTATGAAAGTCAATTTTGCCATAATTCCTTTAATTTTATATCTTGCTTTGCATGAACGATAAATAACTCGCGTGACCCAAGGAAATTATATAAATATATATCTGAATTACATGTAACGTTCAATTTATAAAACGATCGGGACCGTCTTTATATGTTTTAGGGAGATTTATATTATATCCTAAACAATTTCAACTGTTGGTCAATCGCTGTTAAAATAGTCAATCATTTGAAAAATATAGTCAAGTCAGTTCAATTTGGTTAAAAAAATGGAGCACAATGTTTCTTTAAATGAAGCTACCTGTCGAGTGGGAGAAGAAAATGATCATTTACTTCCATAATTTCATTAATAATTATTTCAGCGTTAAAACATAGATACTTATGAATAGACTGTGTTTATCCTAAGTTTATCTCTGTTAACACTTAAACAAGAATAATTATGGAAACTCAGAGCTATCATTACTAAAATTTGACAGTCAATATTTCTTCATTAGATATATTAAATTTAAATACTCCATTAACTTAAAAATAATTGCTTTTACTTACGTTTTCTATTGCTGACATAATCGATTTTGTTTTAACATTTTGGTCTCTAACTACAAACCACTCGAAACATTGCTTCCACACTCTTTTCAACTATTGGTTTAACAATTGTAAATAAATTGGAATCGTACCACCAATTCTAAAGCAAAGTTCATTATTTCATATTTAATTAAATTGGAAACAAGTTAAGTTTTCATTATGGGAAAATGAATATTTTAGTAGTTTAATTGAAAATTCTGGAAAAATTTTATAAACATTTAAAAAAATTTGATTTAACTTAAAATTGCAAATTTTTAGCAAATAATGAAAACGGTTTTTAAAACATGAAAGTAATTTTTTCCCATTCTGTGATTTCCCAAAAGTAAACAACTTTGATGCCCCTTGATGGTTTTTCCCCCGTAAACCCGGAAAGGGAAAAAAAATTATATTTGAAAAAAATAAATATAGAATTTTTGAAAGGGAAAACCTTTAAAAACAATATCATAATGGAAAAAGGGTTGTTCCTCAAAAACAAGGGGAGCAGAATAATTTTTAAAAATTCTTAAAATTTTATTTTAACCTGAAAAACTTCTTTAGGGCCCCAAACCTTTTCCCGTTTGGTTTCACTTTCTGTAAAATTAGAAAAATCAATTTAGGGTCGGGCCAATATTTCACATGTGTAACATTCGTAAGAAGCTGTAAATGAATTATGAGGTACATTAAATATTGTAAGGAGATCATTATACAGACGGGAACATGAATTGTAATCATAACAAACAAGTATATGTAATTATGAGAAACAAAAAGAAACCTTATGTCCTTATAGCTCTTGACTGACTGTTCACATATAGAAAGTTAATTATGAATGGCATATTTGAATAATATGCTATATAAAAAAACAATATGTAAAAATAAAACAAAAAAGGCAAAAACGAAAACTAATTAAATAATATGTAAAACAAAGTACTGACCTGTTTCTGTGGCCAAGAAAGCAAAAATAAACAGTGCCAATCCGCCTACAATTAAAATATAATTTTGTAAATTGACTGTAATCAAAATCGTTTTTTTATTTATACACATCGTATAAGGTAACTATCAACTTGAATGTCAGTATTTTTAGGTAGTTTTTCTGCCATGGTGATAGTACTCCTAGTATAATGATGCTTTATGCATTTATAAATATAAATTGTTTTCATGATAAAAACTACTCATTCAATAAATTTATGATAAACAACACTTTATTCACACTCACACTATAATTACAATTCTCTTCTGGTGTTTATTACAATCGATACTGAATACAAACGTGTACTTACGAATAATCATTTTTATACACTGATTGCGATTGAATATCCCTCTGAAATAAGTCAATTAAAATACCAAGCATTTATAAATAAAAAAACAAATATTAACTAAAACTGCAAATAATTGTTAACATTATTACAAGTTTTTCATGTCAATATAAAAAGTAAGCTACATATCATCTACTAAATCATAAATGATCGAAGTAATTTTCATTAAAATAAGATATCTTTAAAAATGTACTTACAGTTCTTTTTCTTATCATAAGTCAAAAGAAACGTAAATGTTCCAAATATATAGCTCACTGTCAAACAAATGAGGCCAAAAGAATTTTTTTCTTGAAACATTGTGATAACTGTTACTTAATTACTATTTTTAATTAAACATTATTATATATAATATTCACAAATAACTTAAAGCTAGAACAAAAAACTGGTATATAATAAACGATATATCAGCTTACAAATAAAAATCAATAGATTGAAGTCCTCTATGTTATATCATTATTATTATTATTGTTTTGTGTTTATGTCAACGTCCTATTTCTTATATATGTTTGCATATCTTTTTTGCTCATGTTTTTTATGAATTATACAAACTGGGTGCTATTGTAAATGAATTGAAATTGGTTTAAAGTGAAATTAATTTCTTAATATACTTTATATTCGAATTGATGTTAATATGCAATCAACGGAAAGCAAACACTGTGCAAGTCAATCTACTGTTCTATCGAGCATATTTTCTATTCCCACGTGAAAATATAATCAAAATACAATATGCCACCAATTTGCTGTGCAGCTATCCTGGTGGTATCCCGCTGGGACTTATTTAGCCATCTATATAATTATATTATATTAAATGAGTCGCATTTGAGACTAGATTCCGGATTCTTGGGTTCCTGTTGAGAAATATACTCTCTTCATCTGTTAACATCAACATTTCTCATGTAAAGCAATTCTGAAACTAAATACATTAAACATCTAATTTTTCAGAATCTTGAAAGTGTTGTGTCACCGTTGAAATACCCACTTTCACTTTTTAAAAGTCCATTCTCCTGATAAGTAGTGCATCCGCCAAGAGAAAGAAAGCATACAAAATTTAAAGTTATCAGAAATCACACGAAACTTCAACACATGCAATAAATGCACTATTAAAACATGACCAATCAAACTATAAGCAGCAATGGGCCGTGTTTAATTACGTCCGGGGTGACACAGAAAATGGCCACTTTAAACTAGAACAATGACGTTGTAATTTTATTCTGAATTTTGAAAGATATTTCTATTTATATACATGTGTCATGATCAAAATCAAAAGTAAATTATATGTAATATTATTTACTAAGTTGACATGGTCTGCTCATAAGAAAAGTTATTACACATACATATTTTACATATTGATAGCTAAATACCGGTGATATTTTGTATGGATCAAATTCTAGGTAATAAGGAACTGATTAGTGTATCACCAATGAAAACAAATTATTTTATTTCCCTTTTCCTAGTTTAGTAAAACGTGATGTTTGGTTATTTACAATAAACATCACGCTATGAATTTACGCAATCGATTTAACCATCTGTTTTTAGGTAGATTTGTTATCACTGTATATTGTGTTCTTTTGTTTAAGAACGTAACTATGTTTGTGAAAAATACCACAGTATAACGATGGCAATAAACATGCTATTTTAGCCAAGATGTATTTGATAATTTATCCTAAAGTGTCAGTACTTGATGACAATGTCTTCTTAACATGAAAACTGCTGTTATATTTTTTGAGACAGACTGTGTTATTTTTGTTTTGTATCAGTAGAGGCATCTTAAAGTAATATCTATATTAACCTTAAAAACAGTACATTCCTATTATATATTTCAACCGAGTATTTAGGTTGACACTAAATTGCAAATATCATATATTCCCATTCTTTTTGGCATGTTTTACATAGTTTGAATGAGTTTGCGATAAGGAATGGTCTGTTCAAAAATTGCTTCAAACTGCCTCTTTGAACACAATTCATCAGTTGTTGATCAAACTCATCATTTCCATTGAAAAGCACAAGATAAATCAACAACAAGCATAGCAATGTAGATATATAAAATATAGAAAAATAATGGTGCTTAATAAGTCGCACTCCGTAAGTAGCGTTTCCTAATCAACTTTTTATAAGGCACTATTTCAAAGACTGCGAGTCAACCAAGATGCTTAAGATTTCTTTCTTTTCTCAGTTACATCATAGACTATCATGCATAAATATATAAATTATTTTTTAAACATCCTTCAGTTTTTCAAATAGCAGGTAAATTAACAAATATGTATATATGATGTAAAAAGAATTGCTGAAAACAGTATTACTTAGTTGTTTAGTGCAGTAGTACTTGTTATTGATATTCTCAATTTATTCAAATAAGATACTTCTTCCAATAGAGGATAAATTCACTTTTTTCGACTTTAACATCTGCAGAACACGAGGGCACATTTAAGCACAAGCCTGCAAGGGTAATTCATCAGACTTGTGTCTGCGAGAATATTCAAGTTTCGTAGGTTCTTATAGCCTGGGTTTGTCGATATTCATGTGCTTCTGTTCGGCAAACTGACTAGCAGTAACTAAACGACCATAGTTTTGCACAGATTCGGCGTTATTTTTGCACGATTCAGGGGTTAATTTCACATTCCTGCTTTACTTGATAAACATAAAAATAGTAAACAGGATTGCAATTCTTAACTTGTGACGTGCGAAACCAAGAAAGTACATTACAGAAATGTTGGTCAGCATGTGTAGTTGGGCGACTATATGATTTATTTTTTAAGTATATTTTAGTATATAAATTTGTGGTTTGGAATTCTTGCAGTTCAACTTTCGAAAAACTGAATGCCATTTTTATGCCCCAATAACCTAGGGATAAGGGGTTAGGGATGGGGGTCATGCAAACTGACAAAACAGTAGAATGTGCAGGCATTCGAGTACTATGGACACATTCCTAGTTTATCAATTAGATTTGTAATATGATATACGCACTGCTCGATAAAGGAATGAGTAACTCATTATGGCAACCAAGAGAATAATAATCGTGACAAAAAGTGTAAATGACATGCAACTTCTCATACAAAATCATTGCTCATAACGTTGCGTTATTCTGTGTCAAATAAACTTGTTGCCTTCATTTTTTTTCCTTATATAATAATTGTTATAATTTAAAGGATTTGTTTCACATATGAATGGCAACTTAAGCGAACAAGATATGTCGTTCCATTTGCCGTCATTTACCAATATCACAGCACACTCCATTATTACCATAGACTTAGCCCTTAAGGAAGCAAAATTGAATACGATGGTTAGAGGAAATTCGGAGTCAATTTATGAATGATACAAACGAAAAAATCATGCTAATAGATAAGTTAATAAACACATTCAATTTTATAATTAATAAGTAGTATTTAAGTATAGATAATCTTTTTTCTCTTCCTCGAAGTGATAATTGGTGCACTTTAAATAAAAATAAATGCATTTGTAAAATATATATCATTTTCTTAAAGAGAGACGAAGTTTGAGTTTTGGCAAGTATTTTTATCTAACTCAAAGTTTATAAAACAGATCATCCTAAAATTGCTTCATCAGAAGGCTTAAATACCATTGTTGCGTGCTTAAGTAATCCGCCACAAGCTTTTATTTCAAACACAGCCTCAAGACGGGAAAAAAGCTTTAAAACAATGATTTGATTTCAAATAGATACGATATAAAACAACATGTTTCAGAATATACAATAGAGAAGTTTACGTGCTGTGAGACATTACAATGCAGCAGGTCATGTTTAGGTAACAGGTTGTCAGTTGTCATCTTATTTTGTTTTTTCTATTTTGTATTCTATACTTTTTTGTATTTGATTTTTGGTATTCTATTTATTCCTTTTTTCTTCATTTTTGTTCTTTTTGTCAAAACAACAAAAATAGTTTTGCTCACAATTGTTTTTGTAAATTGAACAAAAGAAAAATATATCGACGTTAAAATCAGCTTCAAAAAAAAAATCCTTGACATTAGAATGAAAAACAACTACGTAAAACTTTATGGCGTGATTATTGTGATGCTAAATACAATGGAAAAAAAAAACAAAAGCAAAAAAAGGAAAAAAATAACAACAACAAAAAACACGTTTCATAGACTAGCAAAAGGCAATAAAACTAAAACTGTTTCTATAATATTTATCTGATATATCATTGAAATCAATGCTTAAATCTTTTAAAATGTCGATTTACAATTGAAATTTATATTTTTCAAATACCGATTTTTATTCAGTAACCCCTTTTGAAATTATATTGAAAGACAACCCGAATTGGCTCACATAGATCAATACACTTAGCAGAGAATTCAGGAGTGTTACAATAACACTAGAGTTTATTTGAATTATATAAATATAGAAATTCATTATTGGATAATCGTCACAGTGTCTGTTGTATGTTAACTGATTTCACATAAAGCTGCCCGGTAAGCTCAACAGGTAGAGTGTTGGACTGTGAATCGGGCGACCCCTGTTCGATTCCTGGACGATGCAGGTCATTTTCACCGTGACTGATCATGAAATCCTTTCTTCGTTCATTCGTACTGCACCTTTGCTCTGACATGTACAGGACTTACAAGCTCTGCAAAACGAGGACAACTATAGTACTTGTAAACTGTTTGACAGCAAGGTGAACTGTGATATGGTAAGTTCAATGTGGCTTACTGCCGTGATCTGGAGTGACAACTATCAACACCACGTTCACATGACGCATTGAAAATATCGTTAAGTGAATAATTCCATCAAATTCATGTGTGTACAATTCAATGCCCACATCCCCCAAAAAATGAATGAATAAATAAATAAAAAATAATAAAAAAACATGTTAATTAGACCATGCATTTATTTTTAAATTGTGATTTGTATTTATAAAAATTTCTTGGAATTGCAGAGACGGTAGCCTGGGATTCAGGCGTTAATATTTTTTTGCTTATTCATAACTTACGCGCTATTTCATACTCGATCGTCATAGATAACACAACATCTCTGGGCTTGATAGTATCGATTTGCCGAACAGAAGCACATAAAAAAATCGACAGACTGGAACCCAGGCTACAGAGACGGTATTGTTTGATTATATTAACCTGTCAATTGCATACTATTTATACGGTCTATGTACACAATATATCAATCCTCGATAATTTTTCGGTAGGTTTCGTGAGATGTACGCAATAAGATCTGATTTAACATTGAAATAAGTAAATATTGAACGGATATAGCACTATAGGCTAAACTTCGGGTTAATAATTTCGAAATGCCTTATGTGTTGTAAGATCGAGACCGCGTAGGTCAATTTTTTCTGTTTTTTGTTGTTGTTGCTTTTTTT